TGACACCATCAAGGACCCCCCAAATGTCCCATGAGTCACAGGGTGACATCATTCCATTGTGAAACTCCCCGCCCTGGGGGAGGTACTGAGCATTCCCTGCTGAACCTGAGCATATAAAGCCTTTGGGCTTGGGGACTTCTGGCACTACTCAACAGATCYRVAGGAGGAGYAGAACTCCAACAGGACTGTGACCACTGCTTTCCACCAGACTGTGAACATCACTTTGACAAGACTGTGACCACCACTCTGACCATCAGGTTTTGATTTTCCTTTTGCTTTTTGTGCAGGGGGACCACTTGGTTCTCAGCACAGGAACTAATGAGCACTGCTCTGCTCCTGTCCCAGGGTGCCTGGCTATACTCTGCCTTTGTGGGTTAATCAGTGTGATTGTATTTCTCGTTTTCTCTTTGGTGAATTGTAACTCCCACTCCCACTGTCTCTTGGGGCAGTTCAGTGGAGTTATTTTCTTCTGCCAGTTAAAGCCAGCACAGTGTTTTAGAGGCTTTTTGCAGTTGTGATACACCTGGTGACTTCTAGAGATGGAACTGGGCAAGAAGAACCCCCAACCCAGCATGCTCACACCTTGTTTTTCCCTCCAAACCAGCATTTCCCATTCCCAAACATTGGCTGCATGGACGAGAGGCCTACAAAGAAGAGGAAGATGTCCCAGGACCCTCAGGCAGGTGAGGAGGAATTCACCGCTCCTTTCCCCTCTCTCCTGCTCCATCTCCCAGCCCAGCATCGTCCCCGGCTGCAGGACAACTCCGCTGCTGACACCGTCCTGCTGGTGATGGATTGGGGGGATCTCCTTCCCCTTCCCTCTGGCACAGAGGCAAATCCCATCCTCTCCTTGTCCTTCTTCCCCCATACAATGAGCTGAGGATGGAGACCAAGGAGGACAAACACCCCCAGCAGAACCTCATGGAAGAGGCCATTTTGACAGACTGTACGGTGCCAGAATCTAATGAGAAGGAAAAGCCCCAGATATCCCACAAAAAGAGGGGCTCCAAACCCAGCCCAGGATGCTCTGAGGGGGAAAGACCCACCCAGTGCCAGGAAGGCACCCAGAGCTTCAGCCAGGGCTTGCAGCTGGGGGTCCATGAGCAGCTTCACGCTGGGGAGAAGCCCTGCGAGTGTGGGGAATGTGGAAAGAGCTTCAGAGACAGCTTTGCACTGAAGCGCCACCAGCGCATTCACACCAGAGAGAGGCCTTATGAGTGTGGGGAATGTGGAAAGAGGTTCAGACAGAGCTCCCACCTCATTGTCCACCAGCAGATCCACACTGAGGAGAGGCTCTACGAGTGTGGGGAATGTAGAAGGCCTTCAGAGACAGGTCCAGCCTGGTCATTCACCAGCGGATCCACACTGGGGAGAGGAGCTATGAATGTTCTAAATGTGGGAAGAGGTTTCAGAGCAGCTCCAATCTCCTCCTGCATCAGCAGATTCACACGGATGAGAGGCCCTTCCGCTGCTCCGACTGTGGGAAGGGCTTCAAGCAAAACTCCCACCTCGTTACCCACCAGCGCATCCACACTGGGGAGAGGCCCTATGAGTGTTCCCAGTGTGGGAAGAGCTTCTCCAGCAGCTCTGGCTTGACTGAACACAAACGGAGGCACCGGTGAGGGATGC